ATCGGCTTTTCGTGTTGCTCGATGTATGAATGGCTGTCTGTACGCCCATTCAATAGACTCCAGCAGGTGTTGTGAGTTGATGCTTAATTTCTCCCTCGGGCCGCGTATAGGTGCACCGTGAGCAGCTGACGATCTAGAGACTCCGCTCTATTTGTTTGGAATTCCATGTCTTGGGCTTTAAACATAGAAGGAATTTGTTTGGATTGAGAGTTAAGAAGCGCACAGGTAGAAGTTCCTGGTTATCGAATTAAACGTAAGTTGAGATGCTGCGTTCAGGAGCTCAATTAACGCATAACGCAGCAGGTAAAATCTTTCTTATGTGCTATAAAATAAAAGCGCAGGGTTGAAGCTCTGACGTTCGGGTGAGGGTGGCAGAGTGTCACGGGTTCCAAGTGCGCAACCGCGAGACGGGCAGAGAACAGGCCGCGGTTTGGGCAGGATCTGGGCCTAAGAATCTCGCCCCGATTTGACAGCTCATAGCTGTCTATAATAAAGGATCGGGCTGAGGGGTCAAATCAAAAGTCATTTCGACTTTTTGCCTCCCCTTTTTTTCGAAGATTTTTAAGCGAAGACTGCTTCGTTTTTAACTTGGCCCAGTGAAGCGGGCTGCTGTTCAATCTTCTCGCGATGCCTCATGCCTCTAATAGGTCGTCGAAGAAGAGGACTGGTTCCCGTGCCAAAGAATCGACCGCGGTTTTACCGGCAAGGCGCTCCGCCGCCACATCGATCAGTACTCCCTCCCGTGCGGTGGTAAAGATATTGATTTTTTAAGCCGGTCAAACTTGCTTTGCAAGTCCTTATGAAACCCTAGATGGGGCGTTCTTCCTGAAGCGAGAGAAGATGACGGTCGTTTTAGATGCTTATATACGGGCAGAGTTGGGACTGTTGCGTTTTGAATTTGCAAACGTTGAGCGCTGACCTCTGTCGTTAATCAAATTTTATAAACGCCAGATCTGAATCTGTGCGTGTGCGAAAATTTAAAGGCACAGCAGTAAGTTGCCGATTCCGTCGTACGTTGAATAAACTTTTAACGGCACAGATCTGTTATCTGTGGCACATTTGGAACATTTAACGCAGAGTTACGACGCTGCTGCGTTGATAAAACTTTTAACGGCCAGAGCTGCCTTTAGCTGTGCGTGTGGAACATTTAATGGCAGAGTTCGAGCCTGCTGCGTTGATAATATGACCTATTAACAGGCCAACGATCTAAACTGAGTGCGTTAGGCAAGACTTGAACAGCAGAGTTTGCAACCGCTATGTGTTATAATAAGCTTTTTGAATGCAATAGACTTTGAACTGTGCGTTAGGACGAGGCTTGACGAAGTGTCCAGAGTTGCAACATATGCATTAAATAAGCTTTTTGAACGGCCAAATTAGAACTGTGGCGGTCTGAAGGCTTTTTCTCAATCTTTCATAGAGATGTGTGTGAATTTCCCAAAGTTTTTTTTTCCTTTATTTTAGCTTCTGCTGGCTGACTGATTAAGTAAGGCTTTTGCGTGCTTTGCAGTGCCTTAGCAACCCAGTAAAGCTCTAAGTCTTCGGGTCACGCGACTTTGGGCGTGGGGGCGCGGCGTGGATTTAAAAATATGCAGTTCAATGCGTCGTCAAGAACTCGCAATATTTCAAGATTCCGACAAGGATCCGTGTCCAGCTTTGATTTCGAATCATCTCTGCTGCAACAAGCG